AGGGCACAGGACGGGCTGAAGGATCCCCCCCCCCCCCGAGTGCACAAATTTTTGTGCACTGGGCCTCTAGTACTTTATAAATAAATATACATCTTTGGGAGCTGCTGTGTGTGCATTCAAATTTGGAGACCATTTGACCTAAAATAATAACAAGGAAACATTTAGGGGCAGGGTAGTGCTGAGCATTGAATTAATACACTCCCCTCCCCCTCTCAAACTGGACACATGGCCATCATTGGCCTGTGCAAACTGCTGTCCCCAGGCTTGTTTCATTATATTCTCCTCTCAGGTTCCCTTTGCCATCTTCCCCAACATAGGCAACCCTTCTAAAGTGTGGAATGCCTGCTACTTGTGTGCATTCTTGCAAAATGAGTACGCTTCTACTCTTCAGTCAACTTGTTCAGAGTAAGGCGTTCATACAGAGAAGCTCAAAATCGACTTGTGGAGAGCTTTGTGAATTTTCACAACCTGAACACACCGTGTCCCACAGATCAGGAAGCAGAATATAATGGGTGTTCCATAAGCGCCACGTGTCTGCCCCAGGAGCCACCCTCCTGACTTCTGACATTGCAGAGCTGATTTAGCCACGCTTGACCTTTATACAAAGGGCGCCATGCACCACGTACCCCTCAGTGTCTGGCTTCTCTTGCTCCATAGCTCATCTGTGAGGTGCATCCACGTTCGTGTAGATGTCATCTTTGTGTCTGGAATGCCCTCATATGTAACGACCACAGTTGTCCTGTGCCCTTCTCATTGGACATGTGGGTGTTTCCAGCTTGGAGCTGCTACAAACGGTGCTGAGCATTCTTGAACAGATTTTTGGTGATCCTAGTACATATCTCTGTTGGGTAAATAGCTATGGGTAGGATTATCGGATCCCGGTGTATGTGATATCTTAGCTTTGGTAGATTCTGCCAGAGCCTTCCAAAATGCCTGTACCATTTGGCACTCCCACCAGGGACGTAGGAGAGTTCCGGCCATTCCACATCCTTGCCAGCTTGATGCTGTCTTTCTCATCACAGCCATTATAATTTGGATTGTGACTTTTGTAAGTGATGTTGCCTTATGGTTTTCTTTTTATTTCTTACTCCCCCCCCCCACCCATGCTTCCCCTGCATCCCCCCAAATAGCTGGAAGAAACAGCTCCCATTGCTAAACACTTTATATATGCCAGGCCTGAGAGCTTGATTCTACATCTATCATCTAATGTAGTCCTTGCTACCACCCGAGGAGGGAAGTATCATTTTACAGATGAGGCAACTGAGGCACAGCGTGGGAATACCCCTCCACAGGCCCAGCTGACCATGTCAGTTGGCAGGAGAAGGGGTCAAAGTGAAAACCTTCAGTGTGACTTAGGGCTGTTCTGACCTGATCCCTCATTTGATTAAAGTAACCAGGATTGGATCAGAGTTCCGAGCAAGATGGCGGCATAGGTAAACACCGGAGATTGCTGCCGCAAACAACCACTTCAAAAATACAACTAAAAGACGGAACGGACATCACCCAGAACCACAGGAAGGCTGGCTGAGGAGAGACTCTTCAACTAGAAGGAAAAATAACAGCACACCGAGGCTCAGAGGAGGCGCAGTGTGGAAAAAACTCAGGTGCGGAGGTGCGCGCGCAAAGCGGGCTGGTGGCTGAGAGCGCGGTTGTCGTTTTCGGTCAGGGGGGAGTCTCAGACTCTGAGCTCCAGATACGGGCGAATCGCTGGGGACTCGGACCCAAACGGGAGAAGCGGGAGTGTCTGGCATCAGTTGGAAGGCAGCTTTCCCTCCGAGGTTTGCAGCGGTTCCGGGGGTTCTGAGAAGCAGAGCCTCTGGGAACAGGACTGAGGGCACCATAACGGCTCCCTCCGCCCGCCCTGTTGAGCCCGCCCCGCCCAAGCCCTGCGCAGAGCCATTTGCCGGATCGCCTCAGGCAAAGGCTAGATTAGCACCTCCCCAGAGGACAGAAGTTTTCCGCGGCAGACACAGCTGATTCACACAGCCAGTCGGCCTGGTGGTCAAATCCCTCTAGTATTAACTACAACAATCAAGGCTCAACTAGAACAAGACTGCGCACAAAGACCACTAGGGGGTGCACCAAGAAAGCATAAAAAATGCGGAGACAAAAAAACATGACAGAAATGGAGGATATAGAGCTAAAAATCGCAATTTTGAGGGCTTGCAAAAATGTGCTAGAAGCTGTCAATAAACTTGAGGAGAGAGTCACGAAAACTAATGAGACCCTCGATGCTATGATAAAGAACCAACTAGAAATTAAGCATACACGGACTGAAATAAAGAATATTATACAGACACCCAATAGCAGACCAGAGGAGCGCAAGAATCAAGCCAAAGATTTGAAATGCGAAGAAGCAAAAAACACCCAACCGGAAAAGCAAAATGAAAAAAGAATCCGAAAATACGAAGATAGTGTAAGGAGCCTCTGGGACAGCTTCAAGCGTACAAACATCAGAATAATTGGGGTGCCAGAAGATGAGAGACAGCAAGATATTGAAAACCTATTTGAAGAAATAATGGCAGAAAACTTCCCCCACCTGGTGAAAGAAATGGACTTACAGGTCCAAGAAGCGCAGAGAACCCCAAACAAAAGGAATCCAAAGAGGACCACACCAAGACACATCATAATTAAAATGCCAAGAGCAAAAGACAAAGAGAGAATCTTAAAAGCAGCAAGAGAAAGAGA